GAAAGTAGTATACACCAATAAGCATGGATTTATATTTACTTTCAGTTTTGAGCAGCCAGTAATCATGTGGCTCAACCAAACCAACTTCTAATGTTGCCGGTTTACCCAAAGGTCTACAACCTTGCTGTTGACACAATTTATTTCAGCTTCAGGGATCCCTTGAGCAGACATAGCAATACTGTATCTTGACTAGAGCCACAGGACTTGCTACCATACCATCAGGATAATCATCTCTTCTTCTAACAGATGGATGAGAGTAAACCACCACCAAAGCACCATTTGGGTAGCCAATATAAATCATCAGATTCACTGCCTAACCTCTAAATATCCATTAACAGGTAGAGCAGTGGAAGAATTCCCTCCCCATCCACTCCTTATACTGACTATCAGGTGGAAATCTCCTCATATATCCTAACCTGATCTATGGGGGTCCTTTGTATTCCTTCTATAAAGCCATATCCCTATCAGGGTCTAACTACATAAAAGCTGCTATAACTAACAAGTATGCTTAACAAAGTTACAAAATACAAAACCAATATACAAAAATCAATTGTATTTCTATATACTACCAATGAACAGGTAAAAAATACAATTAATGACAATGTTAAAAATACCAATTATAATAGCATATAAAATATGAAAATGCCTAGGAATAAGATTCAAAATAGATGTGAAAGACACTGTTGTAAGAATGAAAAGATAGTTGGGCTCGGTGGCTCAGGCTGTAATCCCGTGCCTTTGGGAGGCTGAGGTGAGTGGATTGCCTGAGCCCACGGGTTCGAGACCCGCCTGGGCAGGCGAGACCTCATCTCTACAATAAATCTAAAAATTAGCCGGGCGTGGTAGTGCATGCCTGTAATTCCGGCTACTTGGAAGGCTGAGGCGGAAGGATCGCCGGAGCCCAGCAGGTCGAGGTTGTGGTGGCCAGGAGCGGCCACTGCACTCTGCACTCCAGTCTGGGCGACAGAGACTCCAACTCAGAAAAAAGAATGAAAAGATAAGTCATAGACTGTGCATGTCTACAAAGCATGTATCTTACTTGCTTTCAAAACAAATAAAGAACTCTTGAGACTGGGTTCGATGGCTCAGCCTGTAATCCCAGCACTTTGGGAGGCCAACGCAGGTGTACTGCCTGAGCCCAGCAGGTCGTGAGCGTGCCACTGCACTCCAGCCTGGGCGATGGAGTGAGACTCTGACTCAAAAAAAAAGAACTCCCAAATCTTAATAAGAAGAAGAAAAACTCAATTTTTAAAAAGGACAAAAGGTTGAACACACAGTTCACCAAAGAAGATATACACAGGGTTTAAAAAAAAATCTGAAAAGAGGCTCAACATTATTATTAGTCAAGAGGGAAATGCAAATTAAAATTACAGTAAGACAACTAAATACCTTTCAGAATGGCTAAAACTAAAAAAAACTGATTATAACAAGTATGGATGAGGATGTGAAAAAACTGGAACTGTAAGGAACTGCTAATGAGAACAAGCACTTTGAAAAACAATTTAACAGTATATTAAGAAGTTAAACATACACCTACCAAACAATCCAGCCATTCCACTCACAGGTATTTACTCAAATGAATAAAAAAGTACCTTAAGAAATAAGATAGACAAGTGGGACCTCATCAAATTAACGAGCTTCTGCAAAGCAAAAGAAACCATCAAGAGAGCAGGGAGACACCCCACAGAATGGGAAAAAATATTTGTCAATGGTATATCTGACAAAGTCCTAACATTTAGGATCTACAAGGAATTGAAATGCACCAAAGGGAAAAAACAAACAGCCCCTTTAAAAAGTGGGCAAAAAACATGAATAGACACTTCTCAAAAGAAGATATACGGGCAGCCAACAGACACATGAAAAAGTGCTCAGTCTCACTCATCATCAGAGAAATGCAAATCAAAACCACATTGAGATACCACCTAACCCCTATAGAATAGCCATCATTAATAAAACAAACAATAACAGATGCTGGCAAGGATGTGGAGAAAAAGGAATGCTTCTACACTGCTGGTGGGAATGCAAACATGTACAACCTCTCTGGAAAACAGTCTGGAGATTTTTGAAAGAACTAGAAATTGACGTCCACATGACCCAGCAATTTCCCTATTGGGAATATACCCAGAGGAACTCAAATTATTCTACGAAAAAGATACCTGCACATGTATGTTTGTTGCAGCTCTATTCACAAGAGCAAAAACATGGAACCAACTGTGTTGCCCATCGAAGCTGGACTGGATTAAAAAAATGTGGTACATATACACAATGGAATATTATGCAGCCATAAAAAAGGACAAAAATATGGACTTTGCAGCAAGTGGGATGGACTTGGAGTCTATCATACTCAGTGATTTATTATCACAGAAATAAAGAACTGAGTTCCATATGTTCTCACTCATAAGGTGACCTTGAACAATTATAATGCTGTAAGAAAGTGATTGGCAGTAGTGGAAACTGTTGGGGTAGGGGGAGTGGGACTGACAGTTGAGGGAAACTGCTAGGGGAGGGAGGGGCATACCTCATCAACAAGGGTACCTGCATGATCAATGTTTGTATACCTAACCCTGAATTGTACCCCACATCTTTATATTGAATAAATAAATTTTAAAAATAAAAAAAAGACTGATTATAGCAAGTATGGATGAGGATGTGAAAAAATTGGAACTGTAAGGCACTGCTAATGAGAATAAACACTTTGAAAAACAATTTAACAGTATCTTAAGAAGTTAAACATACACCTACCAAATGATCCAGCCATTCCACTCACAGGTGTTTACTCAAATGAATAAAAAAAGTCCATACAAAGACTTATATATGTACATCCATAACCGTTTTATTCATAATAGCCAAAATCTACAAACAACCAAATACCCATGAGCAGGTGAATGTATTTATACAATGGAAAATGAATGAGCAATGAAAATTAATAAACTATTGATATGCAAAACCTTGAAATAATTACTCTGAGTGAAAGAAGTCAGAAAACAAATGTCTGTATACTATATGCTTCTATTTAAATAAGGCTTCAGAAAACGCAAATTATAGAAAAAATGAAAAACAGTTCAGTGATAGAGGTGGGAGGAGAGGCGAGGGGGACAAAAGGGAAAGATTACAAAGAAGCAGAAGAAAACTTTTGAAGTGTGATAGACTGGTTCACCATCTTGACTGTGGTGATAATTTCAGAATGAATACATGTATCAAAATATATAAAACTATTCATTTAAGATGTGCAATTTATTGTATGTCTACTCTCAACCCTTCAAAACAAAAACACAAAAGCTTCCAACCCCAGATTCTAGCTACAGATGACTACTGGTAAAGTCTTTCAACTATTTAACTTCTCAGTTTATTTTATGAGGCCAGCATAATCTCGAACAAAAATGATCAAGGACATTAAAAGAAAGCAAAATTATACACCCAGATCAGCATCCTTCATGAGTATAGATGCAAAAATACTTTTTAAAATAGAAGATGAATAAACAATATGTACAGAGAATACTATTCCACAAATGCAATACTGGATTGACATTCTTAAATCTCTACAGAAACCAATGACTAAAACTATATAATCTTCTCAATAGATACATTTGTTGAAAAAACCCATAAATTTATGATTTTAAAAAACTCATTAAATTTTTAAAAATAATAACACAAATGCTTAAAATGTTTATAATACTGAAGTACCGAAAGCTATCCCCCTAACTGTAAGGCTGGAGGTACTGGAGGACAGGGCAGGCCTCAACAAGATGGCTCTAACCCAAACCAGGAGAACAATGGGCAAGAGTGAGCCAGCAAAAAATGAGTAACCGGAACTAAGACTTCAGTCACAAAGCCAACCAGTACCTGTTACAGCAACTCTAGCAACCCCGTTCAGTCAATCACCAGCAGACGTGACAGCTGTACCAACCAGTGATTGCTCTCCCAGACCCCCTCACAGTTTTCTCAGTGTGCCCTTTATAAACCCATCGCCCATCTTGCTGGGCGCGACTTCTCCAGCCCACAGCTACATGGACCAGTGAACCTCACCCGAGATTGCGCTAATAAATTTTTCTTGGCTCCTTTGTTGCCATTTCGCCTGGTCTGGTTTCATTCACTTTACATTTGGTGCCGGAACCCGGGAGGACGGCGTGGGGCCCCAGTGTGCTACCCCTCCTCTCCTGATCCGCGACCTCTCTCGGGAACAGGACCTGGCCCCAGGACCTCAGACAATGTGGTGAGTCCCTCACTTTCCCTGACTTATCCTCCTACCTTCCAGGGTGCCCAGTCCGAAATCACAGCTGCATCTGGCTCACCCCTCCGGCACAGTGCCTTTGGCTCCAGTGTAGTGGAGACGTCCCTATCTCCAGATTGCCAACCCTATAAAGGAAGCAGATCTTCCTTTCCGTCCCTATTCTGAGTGGGTCTGGGACGCTGGGCTCGCTTGTTTAGGGACCCAGAAACGGAGGTTGCAGCCATGGGAAACCAGCCTTCTAAAACTGAGGCTCAGATCCCCTTGCGGTGTCTCATATCTAATCTGGCTACTCTGGGGTTGTCTGAGAATATCCGTAAATGGAAGCTAATCTTCCTTTCCTCCCGGGCCTGGCCCCAATATCCTCTGGACAATCAGTCTCGCTGGCCCCCCAAGAGAACTTTCAATTTCGGCCTCCTCACCGATCTAAGTAATTATTGTCACCGGACTGGAAAATGATCTGAGGTCCCCTATATCCAGGCCTTTTGGACATTGTCCTCCCGCCCAGACCTCTGCGTCAGATGTTCCTCAGCCCAGGTCCTCCTGGCCAGATACCCTAATAGGGGCTATCAGCCTCTCCCAGCGTCGAAATCTTCCTTTACAGATCCTCCGGAGGACCTTGGCCTTCCCCCTCCAGCTCCTACTCCTCCTTCTCCTCCCCTCCTGTCCACCTCTTCTCAAATGTCTGCTCTTTCCCAACCCCCTCCTTATCCAACCTCCTGTGCCCAGATCTCCTCCACTCAGGCCCCTCCGGTGTCTGCTCCTGCCTTACCTCCCGTCTTGCCCCTCCTGTATCCGGCTCTTCCTCCCAGCCCACCATATCTAATTCCTTTGTCCTCAGCTCCAGTCGTTCCGGGGTTGGTCAGCTCCCCTCCCCCATCCACTTCCGTCCCTACTGCCACGGAGGCACAGCCTCCCTCCTCCTGTCCTGTTGATGTCACACCTGACTCCTGTTTCCAGCTCTGCCCCAGCCACCCACAAGCTGTACCCTCCTCTTCTGTCGTCACCGCCATCTTGCCCTCCTTCCACCTCATTCCCTACTCTCACCCTACCGCCATCTTACAATCCTACACCACCCTCTAAATGGACCAGCCCTCTGGTTACCAGGTCCCAGGCCCAGTTACTGGCCCCTCTCCAGGAGGTGGTAAGTGCTGAGGGACTGGTTCGGGTACATGTTCCCTTCTACCTGGGGGACCTGCCCCAGATTAAAAAGCACCTAGGCTCCTACTCTGCCAACCCGACTGCCTACACCAAAGAGTTTCGATACCTCACTCAGGCATACGCGCTCACATAACATGACCTCCACATGATTTTAACCTCCACTCCCGAGGAGCGCGATCATGTCACCTCAGCAGCTCGAGACTACACTGATCAGGTACATAACTCCGACCATTCTTTGCCAATCGGGGCCCCGGCGGTGCCTGCCCAAGACCCACAATGAAACTATCAGGATAGTGCCACAGGAAAGACTAGGAAAAATCTGATAGTCCGCTGCCTTATTGCAGGGATGAAAAAGGCGGCTCAAAGAGTTGTTAACTATGACAAACTGAAAAAAGATCTGAGCCTAACGAAAACCCAGCCTCTTTCCTTAATCGTTTAACAGAGGCTCTTAACCTTCACACTCGTTTAGACCCTTCCTCACCGCCGTGGTCCACAGTCTTAGCTACCCACTTCATCACCCAGTCCGCTCCAGACACCCGGCATAAGCTTAAAAAGGCAGAAGAGGGGCCCCAGACTCCACTCCGAGACCTGGTAAATATGGCCTTTAAAGTTTATAATGCCTGAGAGGAAAAAAGCTGAGGCCGTACAGGCTCAGAGGCTAAAACAAAAAGTGGCCCTTCAAACCCAAGCCCTAGTTGCTGCCCTGCGGCCGGCACAACAGGGGCCTTGGAGACTCCATCTCAGAAAACAGTCTAAAACTCAAACACCTCTGGGAGCCTGCTTTAGGTGTGGCCAGGAAGGCCACTAGGCAAAGCAATGCCCCAACCCCAGGCCACCGACTAGACCTTGCCCGGTCTGCAGACAAAAGGGACATTAAAAGTTTAAGTGTCCCCTGGGGGAGAACCATCCCCCAGCGACAGAGTTTCGTGGGGGGCCGGCTCCCCCAACGGGCCCCTCGCCAGAGCTCCTGGGCCTCCTGGATGACTAAAGCCGCCTAGACTCGAACACCCCAATCACCCTTGCCAAGCCCAGGGCCACACTGTGGGTAGCGGATAAGGCCATCTCCCTTTTGGTAGACACAAGGGCTACCTATTCTGATTTACTCTACTTCCACGGGCCTTTACATCCTTCTCAGGTCTCAGTTGTGGGTGTCTTGGAAATACCCTCCAAGCCGCTGGAGACGGGTCCGGTGTCCTGCCTTTTTAAAGGCCGTCCCTTCACCCATTCATTCTTAGTTATCCCCTCCTGCCCAGCCCCTTTCCTGGGACGATAAGCTCAGGGCATCTATCTGCCTCACCTCATACCGAGTTTCCCCAAATCCGCACCTGGCCCTTGCCTATACTGTCTTCTCCCCGGAGCTTTCGTTCAATTTCCCCATTTTCCCCAAGAAAGTTAATCCAGTGGTCTGAGACACTTCAACTCCTGTGGTGGGCAATCACCACACCCCAGTCCTCATTCGCCTTAAGGATCCCTCTTGCTTCCCTTCCAGGTCTCAATTTCCTATCTCACACACCCATCGCAAGGGCCTCCAGCCTATTGTTAACCGGCTGCTCATCCAGGGTCTTCTGGTTCCTACCAACTCCCCTTATAATACTCCCATCCTCCTGGTAAAAAAGCCGTGTGGTGCTTATCGACTGGTACAGGATCTGCGGATAATCAATTCTGCCGTAGTTCCACTACATCCAGTGGTTCCTAACCCATATACTCTCCTATCTCAGATACCCCCCACTACCACTCATTTCACAGTCCTGGACCTTAAACATGCCTTCTTCACCATCCCCCTACATCCAGACTCCCAGGCACTCTTTGCCTTTACTTGGGAAAATCCAGACACCCACAAGACCCAACAATTAACCTAGACGGTCCTGCCTCAGGGATTCCGTGACAGTCCCACCTTTTCGGCCAGGCGTTGGCCGGGGACCTGTCCTCTTATGACTCTGGGTATAACACTCTCCTCCAATATATAGATGACCTCCTCCTATACAGCCCCTCCAGAAAAGTCTCTCTCCAAAATATGGCTTCCCTCCTTAACTTTCTAGCACAGCGGGGACACAGAGTCTCCCCTTCCAAAGCTCAACTCTCTACCTCACAAGTCACCTATCTAGGGGTGGCCCTGACCCCCACCTCCAAGGCCCTCATGGCAGACCACACCACCTCCATCAGGGAACTCCTACCCCCCACCTCAGGTGCTGAAATCTTGTTGTTCCTTGGGCTGATAGGCTTCTTTAGACATTGGGTCCCCAATTTCGCTATACTTGCTAAACCGCTATATGCTACATCTAAAAAACTCCCTCCGGCCCTCTCACTTCTCCCTCAGCTGTAGCCCGCGACTTCGAGACCCTAGCCTCCCCCAACTTATGTTTCCTGACTTCCACAAGCCTTTCCTCCTGCTCACTGAAAAACCAACTGGGACAGCAACCAGGGTTCTGGCCCAACCAGTGGGACCCTCTCACCGACCGGTCGCCTTCCTGTCCAAATAGTTGGACCCCATCGTCCAGGGATGGCAGCCTTGCCTCCAGGCACTGGCAGCGACGGCTTGTTTAACCAAGGAGGCTCCAATGCTTACCCTTCAACAGCCGGTTACGGTCTACTCCCCCCACAGACTCCAAGACCTCTTGGGTCATAAGTCATTATCCTTTTGTAAGCCCTTCTAGGGTCCAGGAGTTCCACCTTTTATTCATAAAACACCACCAAGTGTCTCTTTGCTCATCGCCACTTCTAAATCCAGCTACTCTCCTTCCCTCCGCTAGCTCCTCAGTTTTGCCTGAACATTCCTGTGTGGAGCTGGTAGAGGCCCTTAGCCCCCCTCACACGAGACTCTCTGACCAACCTCTGTCTAACCCTGATCTCACATTCTTCGTAGATAAAAGCTCAACTAGGGGGCCGGACAGAGGCCACAGGATAGCCTATGCAGTAGTCTCTCCTCCCACCGTGGTAGAAGCTGCCTCACTACCACGAGAGACTTCTTCCCAAAAGGCAGAGCTAGTGGCACTCACTCGAACATTACAGCTGGCAAAGGGCCGCAGGGCCACTATATATACCGATTCTAAGTATGCCTTCCTTATCGCCCATAGTCATGCAGCGATCTGGAAAAAAAGGGGGTTCTTAACCACCCGGGGAACTCTAGTAGTCAACAGTAAGGCCATTCAACATTTACTCCAGGCCCTGCAAGAACCCAAGGAGGTAGCCATTGTCCACTGTCAAGGCCATCAGACGGGCACAGACCCTGTCATCCAAGGAAACGCCCTGGCCGACGCCACAGCCCACCAACTTACCTCAACCCAGGACACCACCCCTGTCCTGTTTCTTTCTCCCTCCCTAACTCCCAAGTACTCGGAGGACGAACAACAGCGACTCCTCAGCCAGGGTGCCGTGGCTGGGCAACAGGGGTAGATGTATCTCAAAGAAAGGATAATCCTTCCCCAGACACAGGCAAAGGAAATCATGGCCACAATCCAGCAGTCTTTACACATTGGTCCCGAGGCCATGCACAGGTTTCTTTCCCCAATTTTCTCACCACAGGGTCTCCAAAAAACCATTGACCAGGTCCATATGGCATACGTTTCCTCTCAAGGAGCCCTCCAGTGCCGGACGGCAGCCCACCAGCTGCGAGGGTGTCTCCCTGGACAGGACTGGCAGGTGGACTTCACTCATATGCCAAGACACAAAAAGTACCAATACCTGCTGGTAATAGTAGATACCTTTTCAGGTTAGATCGAGGCCTTTCCCACAAGCCAGGAGACAGCCTTGGTGGTGGCTGAGACCTTGGTGGAGCACATCATCCCCCACTTCGGCCTCCCTATGTCCATTCAGTCAGACAACGGCACAGCATTCATTTCCAAAATCACTCAGCTGGTGGCCAAAGCCCTCAACATTGTCTGGAAACTTCATATCCCCTACCACCCTCAGTCCTCGGGTAAGATAAAACGGACAAACGGCCTCCTAAAGGATCAACTAACCAAGCTTTCCCTAGAGGTAAAACTTTCCTGGCCCGCTCTGCTCCCTGTTGCCCTCCCTAGGGTACGTACGGCTCCCGGGGGCCAGTCGGCCTTAGCCCATTTAAATTGATGTATGGTAGGCCTTTTCTCATTAACACCGGCCTTCCTACAACTCCTCCGCCACTAGCCTCCTGTCTGCCCTACCTCTCACTCCTCAGACACCTCCTACGAGAGCACGCCTACCAAACCCTGCCCTAGGCCAACTCCACGTCTGACCCCCAGTCAGCCGTCATTCTACAGCCTGGTGATGAGGTTCTCCTTCAAGAGCTCCAACCCCGGTCCCTTCAACCTCGCTGGACGGGACCTTACACAGTAGTCCTTACAACTCCTACCGCAACTAAACTGTTAGGGCACCCCTCATGGTACCACATTTATCGGCTCAAGCGGGCCCCTCCCAACAATGAAGTGTGGAAATCTAATGAAGTGGGACCCCTCCGGTTACGGTTTAACCGTATTGATGCTAGTAAGCCTAACCAAGAACTTTACAATGACATGGGGAATGGCTGATTGGACTTGCAACCGATGCATCTCTGCAGGAAAAACCCAACTCTACCAGCTGGTTCCCCGTACATGCTATCATCAAAAATTTTGTGCCAACTAGGAAAACAAAAGTACTGGGCTGCAGTAATGTTAAGAGATTTCCAAGCGGGCTGCCCAGGTGGCAGTGGTACAGTCCGCTGCTGGGAGTAAGACCCCCCACCAAATCCCCAAGGAAAGATACCCCCTTGCCCCACTGAGTGTTCAGCCTTCCATTCTTTTGTCCAGGCACCTTGCTATGAGCAAGTCTTGGCCTGCCTCAGACCAACCAAACAACAGGCCTAGACGGGACGGAGCGTGGGACAACGCGCTGGGTA